CATTATCAATAAAACCATAATAAAAAAAGAAACAAACAATTAATTGAACTGACCAACAATTATCCTTAGTCATAGCACTTGATTGGTGTGTAGAACATAAGAGCTTAAGGAATCTAGTGAATTGCACACTGACATTATGAATCAGTAAATCTTGTCAAGTTTCTCTATGTTATTGATTCGAAGTATGTCTTGTATCTTGTTTACATCACTTGGCGCAGAGAGAAATGCTCGTAAATGTTTGTGTCTGTCGTCTGTTAGCTTTCCACAGTAAAGAAGGATATGGAATATATATATTCTCTCAGGAATATATAATATAAGGATATATTCTCTGACTATATAGCTTTAATAAAACGCCAACTATGACGAAATTAAGCCAAATGGTGATTCTCAGTAACCAAAAAACTAACTAAAGTCAAAGTCGTCAATCTGCCATGTTTGGATGCCATTTTGGGGAAGTTCGTTCACTTTTTTTAAATTAATAGTTACAAAGAACACAAAGATATGCAATTTATAGGGATGTGGGGGGAGAGGGATGCACGATAGGGGGGTCTGGCCCACAGACTACTAGCCAATTGCACAATAGCATGCTGATACCATTCTTTGGGATGGCTATTGGGGGCGGGGTGGCCGAATAGGCTAAAGCGTGTGCACAGCACCGCTAGTTGCCTGGCAACCGGATAACAGAGATTTGAGATGATATAAAAAGTACGAGTTCGCGTCCCGGTGCCGGAGGGGATTTTAAATTCCCCGCCCTCATCCCCCGGCCCGGGAAAATCCCGTATAGCCTAAAAGGCGAGGTAGGAAAGAACAAAAAAAAATAATAATAAAAAAAAATAAAAAATAAAAAGGCTATCAAAAAACTCTTGGATCACAATTTCAACTTCCACAAAATTATCATCGAATTTTTGATGAGGCAGAGTTTCGAACCCATGAAGTTCTTTAAACTTTTCTTTGGTTCTTTCTGATGGGAAGTGTGAAGACAAGAGCATTATCTTGTTGGAATAAAATTCCTTTTTGGTTGGTCAAAGCAGGATTAAGCTCTGACAACTTTGCATACAATCTTTCCTGCTGTTCGCAGTTGAGTTCAGAATTCATATAGCATCCATCAGGAACAAATTCGTGATGAATAACATTTTTAAAATTTCAAAAAACACAGAGCAAGAATTTTTTTTCAAATTGCCCCCTTGCAGCAAATGGAAAAACAGTTTGACCCGTAACTAGCCCTTGCTCACGGGTATTCGGATTTTGACAGTAAACCCGCTTTTCATCACAGGTGAAAATCTTCCAGTACAACAACCTATCTCATATCAGAAGTGTTTTTCAAAAAATTTTCACAAATTTCTAACCTCTTAGCTGATGGCTTAGGAGTAAGTTCGTGAGGGACCAGTCTACTGCTCTTTTTCATCTTCACCATGGAGAGTAGATGGCGACTAACAGTATCTTTCAAAACACCACACTCTCAGGCAAGTTTGTGAGTACTTGCGGACGGATTTGACTCAACATCTTCCTACAGAACCTCATCAATATCCATTAATGGTCGCCCGCAGCCCTTCTTTCTTTCCAACGTCGCATCTCCACTGATTAAATTTTTCAAACCAACAAGGACACCTTCCCCTTCATATTTAATAATTTGATTGAGTTGCTATTGATTGAGTTAATTGATAAATTGAGTTCCTTCCTTAAAATTACGAGAATCTTGTAAGATACTGTTGTCTTAGAAACAAATACCTAACTGAGGCTTTTTTTGAAGAAGTCGAATGGGATTAAACAAGTTTAGAGAATGCTCTTAAGGGATTATTAAGTATTAAACAGGATTAAAATATGTACAGTCCTTTGAAATCTTGAATTTGATAAAACAGTCATTTTTTGTTAACACCCTATTAAATAGACTCTTAAAAGAAATTAGAAAAACTAAAATAAGTTTAAATGCAGTGGTTAAATCTCAAAATCATTTTCAAAATCTATGGCTCCAAAAATATATAAATAGACCCTTATATTGAACAAATACAAAAAACTCAAATAAGTCAAAACTAAGTGGCGCAATCTGATCATTTTCATCATCTGTGGCTATGAAAATATATAAATAGACCTTCATATCGAAGCAAAATAAATTCTCTGTTAAATTATTCAAAATTTATTAGAAAAACTCGAATAACAAATAAAAAGATAATAGACAACTTGAATTTATTTATTAAAAAAGATAAAAGATAAACAAAAATATTTGTTATTCGTAGTTGAAAATATGAATAAATCATTCGCTATTTATTATCTATTATTAATTTGGGCCAACACTGATGAACAGCCTCTGAAATAGAAAAATAACTCTATTCTGGGAGGAAGTCCCATAAGAATAACACGACAATACAGAAAAAAGAAAGGATTACTTCTGGCCAGAACTATTACATTAATTAATAGAGACATAATACAACTTAAGTATGCTATTAATATATGGAAAATCAAACAATGAAACTATTTACAAAATACTTAGAACTACATATAAAATTAATAAGCAACGAAACAAAATGATTGCTACTTAGCTTTAAAAAAATAATAAAGAAATAAAAAAGATAGGAGGGCAAACAGTAAATGAAAGATATATTCCTCTGATAGATGAGCACAAATTAAAATAGATAAAGTAAGAAGTAAAAGATAAAGAAATAAAAATGTATGTGTTATATTAAACATATATAACAAAAATAATAAGAAAGTAAATATATACAAGTTCCCATGTATAAGTAAGTATATACAAGCTCCTCAGAAGGATAATATATATATATATATATATATATATATATATATATATATATATATATATATATACACACATACATACACAAACATCCATGTATAAAGATATAACAGTTTTTTAAACTGACAAAGCTTTGTTGAAATGATTTGTACAACAAAGAAAACAAAAAATTTAAAATTAATAAAACTTATTCCGGTGATGTTTGGAAATGTTGAAATCTCTCCAGAACATTCTTATTTAATACCCTTGTATTTGACATTACAAAATCCATAATAATGACAGAATACGATTCACAAACCACCACGAGCAGGTCTTATCAGCATCAGTTTCAGTTAAAGGTGTGGTAGGGATTGTAAGGAAATATGCTTCTAGACCCCAGCATTAATATCAAACAAGTTTACTTCAGCAGCATTTTTAAATACTCCATAGAACAGAATTACAGAGATTGTTAAAGATATTCCTCTAAATATAAAGAGGAATTTGTGGTTTTAGATAGACAAGGATTTACCTTGATGGAGCCTGATAGATTGGCCAACTTAGTCATGTAATATGCCTGCAAGAAGCCCAGACCTAACCAATTAGATTCTTTTCAAGCTTACTGTTTTTGTTATATTTGTCCAACAACAAACACTCTTATGTGACCTAAATTCCTTTTAAGATAACTTAAACATTGATATTTAGGTTGTTTTTTTAAGATAATTTTCGAGAATATGTTTTTTCACCAATAGTTGACACCACTTAATTAATATATTTAATTTATTTATAACCAAATATGCGCCTATATTGGCAGTTTTTACCAAGAAACTATGATTTAAAAAAATATACAAACTTCAAAAATGCAAAAAAACAAGAAAATTATTTTTTAAAATTAAATTACATTTGTAGGTAAAAAGGAAAAAGATATTTCCTGAGAAAAATTGGAACACTTCCAATGAATACATGTATACAATGAATGATATTCAATCATTACTACAAAAAAGTTGAGTTTTCTAGTAGTAAACACTTCTGTCTACTACTGGATCAAGAGGTATTATCAGTATCCCAGTAGTAGACAGTTTGTTTTTGGGCTCAATCAAACAAAACTAACACACAAAAGTTTATTGTCTACACTATCATTAAGAGAAAAATATTGTGAAAAATCTTGGAGCAATAAAAGAATAATTAATGAAAATCCAACACCCCTCCTTAGCCGATTTGGTAACAGCAGGATGACACTGCAAAAGATATCAGCTGTTCTAACCTTTCCACTGCTCACTTGGTTTGCTACAGCATTCTAGTGGCTATACAGTATAAGCTAAAGTTTAAAATTACACCAAATTCAAATCATTCTGATGGTTCCAACTCTTATTTTTTTTAAGTTAAAGTTTCATGTGTCTACTACTGGTGTCTTTACCCTATATCGGTATGGTAGTTTAAATATGAAATAAGTGGCAGAATAGGATTTTGTTTGCCCTGTGTGTTTGTGGGCCTGGTATGAAGATTGGGGTATAAACATAGGAATTGTTCCAAAAGGAGGAAGCATGAATAATGAAATAATGAAAGATGAATAATAAAAGATTTGCTGAAGGATGTGGTTTTATTCTGTAAATGTATCCAAACGATACATTAACAGAAGTCTGATACAGCACTAAACTCACACTCATTTCTCCAACAAGATCAGAGCTTTGAACAGTTTCTTTGCTGTTCCTATCTCTACTTAAATGGTCAGAGATTGATCAGCTTTGCAGCATCAAGAGGATTAGTGATAGGAAGCACCATGTTTCCCCATAAGACAATCCACCTCGATTCTTAGCAATCCAATGATGGTGTAACCACTAATCAGATAGATGACATCCTTATAAGTGCTAGCTTCGCCACGAGTCTAATAATTGTAAGAGTGTTCAGAGGTAGGAATGTGGACTCTGATCATTACCTCATGATTTGAAGAATACGTGCTAGAATATCGCTGCAACGTAACATGACAAACTAAAAGAACCGTGATGAAAAGAAGAAAAAAAGCTGATATATCGGTTTCCAGAATATTGGTATAGGCTAAAATATCTAATTATACAGACAGATCTCTAGACGGTTGATTGAAAAGTTTTATTCGGTAATAAGAAAAATATTAAGTGAAACTGTACGAACCTTAACAGAAAAAAAATAATTTCCCACAATAAATGATATTTCAAACAGGGTCACTTAGTATGGAAATACATAAAAATTAATAAACATAAAACAATACTTAAAAATTCCTATCTGAATAAATAAATACCTATCTGCATGCTGCTTTGCACTATCTACACTGCCTAATGATTGAGTTCTCATTAAACTATTTTCAGGATAGGTCTGTCCAGGTAAAAGAACTGATACACTGTTTGCTTGAGATATATAAACATTTCGAGGAAGTGTAGAAGATAATCTGGAGTCATGATCCATTACCTCCAAGGGTTGTGAATTTCTTTCTAAACTACCAAACCTATAATATCAAACAATAAAATAAATTATTTAAGAAAGGAAAGAGAATAATTGAAAAATTAAGATTTTACCCCAAAGAATAACACCATCTTTCTTGAAAACTGGATTAGAACCACTTATAGAAAGCTTGCAAATGAATTGTAAGAAAAATAGAAAGACAATTATCCTTCAATTAAAAAATTTAAGAAAAACAACAAAATGGAATTTATGTAAAAACACATAAGTATTTACAAGAAAGTAGGTAATGCACCATAAAAAATTTTCTTAGTAGTAGCTGTTTACACTTTTATACCAAATATACCATGTACCATGTGGCAATGCCACAGGTTCACACCCACACATTTTACAGAAGAAAAATATTTTTATTTCATATTGTTGTCATATTAATGGAAATAATTGTTCTAATTAAACTGATACGTCTCGTGAAAATGATGATGCCAGGCTAGAAGTGTGCAGTATGGGTACGAAGTGACTTCTCGGAAGACTTTCTTACTAACTGCGGTGTAAGACAGGGGGATGCTCTAGCCTGTCTTCTTTTTAACTTCGCTGCAGAGAAAGCAGTGCATATGGGTACGCTGACAACTTTGATATTGCCGCCAAGTCGGAACGTGCATTAAGAGAGTCGTTCTTGGCCATAGAAGATGCAACAAAGAAACTTGGACTACACATTTATGAAGCTAAGACCAAGTTTATGAGAGTTGGAGAAGATAGGCCAGGGACCGGTTCTTATATGGCTGGACCATATAATTTCGAAAAGGTGTGCAGGTAGACAGCTTTCTGCATACTACTACCTCAGGTCTGAGATCAACGGTGAGACAGAGCTATTTTTGCCTTTCGAAGCAGGTTCCTCTCCAACAGGACCAAGATCATTCTCTACAAAATCTTGGTCCGCCCTGCCCTGTTTAACTTATGGATCAGAAGCATGGGCCTTTAAGAAGCAAGATGAAAATAGACTTCTAATCTTTGAGAGATCAATCTTGAGAAGCAGAAATGCCGAACTCGCTTGCCTTTATAAGGCTATAGACTAGGTCAAGTTGATCAAGATAGGACGACTTCGATGGGCCAGGAAAATGCTGTCCGAAAAGATGCATGGACAAAGAAAGGTTAGCAAGCCAAATGTAAGATAGGAGAACTCAGTGACATCGGATGCACGGTCTCTACTGGGAGTCCGAAACTGGAGTTGCTGCAGCTAATCGTATTGACTGGCAAACAAAAGCTTTTGGAGGAGGCCCAGTCTTGGTGATGGAATACATACATAGCGCCATCTATGTATGTATGTCATATAAAAAATGCTATATACATAAGTAAAATGTATATAGGTTGTAATTTAATATACAGGGTTAAGTGGCTAAACAGCAAAAATGAACACTCTAATGAAGTGAACACTCTAACCGAAAACTTTTAAGGTTCTCCATCTCTCTAGGAGGAATGACCTCCCAGACACAATGTGACTCTCTGATAATCATCCCATCATGTCAAATATTTATACCAAGAGTTGTTCCAATTTCTGATTCTTTTTATCTTGGATCAGCATTTCTTTCCATACTGAGATTTTATTATCTTACAATTATATATTGGGTGTTTCACGGTTTAAGTGGCCAAACTGAAAATATGAATTAAGGACCTCAAAACAAGAAAAAAGATTCCTATGAAGGCATGTCCAGAAACGCTTTGTTTAGGAGATATTCACACCTAAAGATTTTCATTGTTATGAATTATTTATGTTATATTAAGTAAATAAAACTTATTTATTTGTTCTAACTACTTTATTAATTAAACATAAACATTAAATTCATATTAAATGTTGTTCAAAGTAATTTCCTTGAGCATTAAGACAGGCTCAGCATCTTTCTTCAACAGCAGCAGTGGCAGAACGGCACTGGATATGTGTTTTTGTTTCACAAGATTCAATTATCCTTCTTTGTAAGGTATTGAGGTCATTGACCGGACTTGCATAGACTTTCTGTTTAATGTCATCCCAAACAAAAAAAATCCAGTGGTGTCAGGTCTGGTGAGCGTGCAGGCCAAGCCACTGGTCCTGCACAGCCAATCCATTGATTGGGATAATTAACATTTAGCCATTGTTGTGGACCTCTTGAGCAATGTGCAGGACAACCATCGAATTGAAGCCACATTTCCCTTCTCAGTTGTAGTGGAATATGTTCAACTAAATCATAGTAATCATTATTAAGAAATTCCAGAAATGTGCCCGCATTGAGTGGATGTGGCAAGAAATGCGGACCTATTAAAATATTGTCTATTATTCCCAACCATACATTGCACTGAAACTGTTGCTAAAAATAATGCTCATAAATTGCATTTGGATTTTCCTGCAACCAGAGATGGTTATTTTTCTAATTGAAGGTACCTCTTCTAGTAAAGGTAGCTTCACCTTTCCAGAGAATTTTACCTGTAATTGTGAATTATGCTCAATTTGATTTAAGTACCAATCTGAAAAGTTTCTTCTTTGCTGAAAATCTTGCGGTAATAAATTTTTTACCCGTTGATGATGATATGGGTGAAGTCCATCTGTAATGAGATTTCTTCATGGCATAATATTTAATTCTACTCCAGCTCTTTTTACACTGCCAGATGGATTATCATCAAAATATTATAATATTGTTACATTCCTTTCTTCATTTTGTAAAGGTGCAAAATGCCATCAGCATGTGGTAGTATAGCAGGTGTACCAGTTTCTCTAAGACGTTGAAACGTGAAGCTAAAGATAGACTTGTTTGGTAATCTTCTATTCGGAAATCGCCTGACATATTCACAACAGGCAGCATTAGCATTACCATTGCAAAAATCTTATACAAACACCATATCGATATATTCACCATTAGTATAAATGGGAGGCATAATGATGAGTACTCTGCGAAAGCCTCTTACAAACTGATAAATGTTATTGAGAGTTTCCAATGCTAATTCCAAATAGTATTAATCCTTATGTTGCCAATAGTTCTTATACATTTAGGGATAAAAGGCTATATTAGTATTATATCTAATCCATCTCCTAAACAAAGCGTTTGCGGTCATACCTTCTCTTTGAACAACATTTAATATAAATGTTAATGTTTACATTTAATTAATAAAGTAGTTAGAACAAATAAATAGGTTTTATTTATTTTATATAACATAAATAACTCATAACAACGAAAATCTTTAGGTGTGTATATCTCCTAAACAAAGCGTTTGCAGACATACCTTCAGAGAAAATTTTTTTCTTGTTTTGAGATCCTTAATTCATATTTTCAATTTGGCCACTTAAACCGTGAAACACCCAATATATAATTGTAAGATAATAAAATCTCAGTATGGAAAGAAATGCTGATCCAAGATAAAAAGAATCAGAAATTGGAACAACTCTTGGTATAAATATTTGACATGATGGGATGATTATCAGAGAGTCACATTGTGTCTGGGAGGTCATTCCTCCTAGAGAGATGGAGAACCTTAAAAGTTTTCGGTTAGAGTGTTCACTTCTCCATAACTAGTATCAGTTAATTATATCTACTGCAGCATTTTGTTTCACTCTTTAGGCAGGTTTTGATTTATCACTAATTTTTTTAACTCAATGTGACCAGGTTTATCCCTGACATCAAAATTCCTTTAAAACATCCATACAAGGTATAGATGCTCATCCATCTGCTTGTAATACTGTGCATCAAGTCAATAGGCTCATCCCATAGTTGATATCTTGAACCCTCACAAAGTTAGGAGACACATCTCTCTTTTTGTAGTTACCACCCTGCGAGATCTTAAGGTTCATTGCTTAGCTCACCAACCAACAGTGATTTGGGAGTTCACCTTCCTGACACTACCAATCATCCTTTCCTGAGCTCTCCTCATCCTTTGAACATGCTTTATCAAGGCTTTCTGTTGTCATCACAAACTTAATCTCAACAATTTATATAACAAGATGGGCCTGCAACCTCTAAGCAATACAGACATACCATACAAAACTTGTTTAGGTTATAATTTTCATCTGACTATCTAATTAATTATTGGACCAAAGAGTAAAAAAGAAGGACGCTGGTAGCATGTAACAAGATCATGTCTTGTGACTTTAGTCAAGGAATTTTATGTATTACGAGATATTCTGGTTTCTGCTACCAAAAGGTACCATCACTATACAAATGTTTACAGCATTTGAACAAATCTTCTGTTTAATGGCAGTTAGTCTTAAAAGCTATACCTCATGTCTGTTCCTGACATGGTGAGATCAAGATAAGAGTTTTATGTAAAAATAAATATTATAATTTATTTTTGCCTTCTTTTTTGACTGACCACCCCAACTATTCTTCTCTTCATTATCCACGACAGCCAACCATTTACCAATTATAATATTTTATAATACAAACTCAACTGTTGATAGTAGCTATTATAAAGCTGTTTTTTTTTTTTTTTGCCTCTTAGTGGTGTTACGAAAATTTTTATATTAACATCATTTATTTTATTACAGCATTTATGGTGAATAATAATAACCTACTAAGGCTTCGGGAGGGGATGGCATATATATCCGGAAATGCTTAATTATGCAGGAAAGGAAATCTGGGAGGATATGCACCAGATTATTTTTTATGTATGCACTTCTGAAAAAATACCAGGAGAATGGTCTGAAGCTCTAGTATGTCCGATATACAAAAAGGGGAGCCGAGCAGAATATAGAAATTATGGGGGAATATCACTCTTTAGAACAGTATAGAAAGTTCTATCTATAGCGAACAGCAGGAGATTTTTCAATTTTATGAGATTTTTTCCCCATGCAAATGCCCAATAAAAGGAACATAGTAAAATTGAGAATACATGACAATATTACTTAGTTTCATAAAATTTAATGTGAATTCTCTATTCTTACTGACCATAAGTAATTCATTTCTTGCCAACTTTTGAAGCATTCATTGTTAAATAAAGGCTTCCAATGGATTAATTAAAGCCATTTGTCCTACCCATCTTACCCTCCTTGCCTTCATATTACCAAATATTAATTGAAAAGTTTTAAACACACTATAATCAAGAGGGATTGCAACAACTAAAAGCACAAAGTAAATAAAATATACAATTTTAAAATAACATGACATACCTCTCGTGGCTGACGAAAGAATCGGCATAAAAATCCTGTACATTCCCTATAAGAGGTGAATGTCTTAATGAGGAATTATAAGCAAGTTCTCTACTCTTGCCATACCATCCATCGCCTGAAAAAAGAAGAAAAAAAGCTAATTTAAAAACAAGAATAAGAAAGTTGAAAAACCTACTAAACTTACTTGACTCTTGAGTTTAGAAAACATCCAACATATAAAACATAAAAAAAAAACAACTATTTGTAACGAAAAGAAGATTAAAGGGAATTCGAAGGTGATTTCCTCTTTGCCAAAGAGTGATTGAAGGTTTGAGGTAATTTTTAGTAGGGTGGATTATATTTAAAGTACATAAAGTTTACTTAAGATTTTCAAGGTGGTTTTGGAACTATGGCTTGCAATTGAATAATATACATACCTTGAGGGGCCTGTGGTGGATTGGGAAAAGTAAGAAGATTAGAAAAAAGAAATTCACTCTCACATCAATGGGCAAGGAAAATATTTGGATTCTAAGGAATGCTATAGTGTATCAACAATGAGAGGAGACTGATGACTAAAAGTGTTAAGGTATTGTGACCTTAGCAAACTCAGATTTATTCGTTACCTTATATCGTTACCTTATATTCGTTACCTTATAACCTTACCAGATTTATTCGTTTTGCTTTTTTTGTTGGGAAGTTTTGGGTTAGCAAAAATGAGATTGACAAGTAGAACTTCCTTTGTACCATATGTTTACTTTTTTGTCGCATAGCACTACAGTGTTAGTTAACATTTTGGGATATATTTTCTATCATAAGAACTGTCTAGAATTATAGTAAGCCTCATTTCTATTTTTTTGTTGTGGTCCATTTGATCATAACACCATAGTTTTTACTTTTTTAACTTAAACAATCAGGAGCAACATTTATTTATGAAATAGCAGCGAATTGTTAGCCAAATAAATTAAATATTGCTCCTGATTGTATGAAGTTAAAAAAGTAAAAACTATGGTTGTTGGGGCCAGGGGTACTTCAAAATCGAAGCACAAATCTTTCCCCGGTGCGTTTCCTCAAAGGTGGGGAAAATCCGAGTGAAATTAAAAACGTTGGGAAAGAGGGAAAAAAGGAGTAAATATGAGACCTGTAAAACATTAAAGAAAAAAAACAAATGCATGCAATAGAAAATAATATTAAATAGAAATATTCAATAAGTAAAAAAAAAATGTAAAATAAAATTACCCCTTTTGAATGTTTACAATTTATTGAGATAAAAGATTTATATATGTACAAAAGTTAAGATCAAATAAAGAGTGGTATGAAGTTCATTGAAATGAATAAAACACAAAATATAATACTCAGTGAACATAAACCAAAATTAACAATTATTAATAAAGCAACAAAAATATCAATTTCTAAAATTATAAATAAAACAAGAGAGAAAAATTATTGTCCAAAAGAATAAACTAATTTAGCGAAGAAAACAGTTAACTAAATGTTCAAATGTCTTGGTGAGAATAAAAAACACAAGCCAAGTTGGAGGTTCTGCTTCCAACCTGTTACCTTCCGATATCCAGCTGTTAAGCAATGGATGGTGGGGTGGTATCGATCTCCATCGATTACTCAGCTGCGCATAACAGCTGATATTCGAAAATGGCGCTAGGTGAGATGTGGTGAGTCTGGACTGGTGGGGGTAGACATCTTCACATAAACCTGATGTCAACAAACGTTACTTCCAGACTGGTTTCGGCCGTATTTTGATGTCTTAATCCCTAAGACAGGGTATTACTGCTGGGCTGGTGTGTATATACAACGCGATAACACATCACAAAATAAACCTACATCTATAAACAATGTACAATTCTGGGACAATTATCCCTCAGTTTCCACCAAAAAAAAAAAAAAAATAAACCTTTCATTATTAACATTAAAAAGGGGTAAATGTTGAGAAAAAATAATAAGGCAAAAATTAAGAAATAAGCCTATGCGGCGTTAACATATTTTGTAGAGCGCGTCCCATGCTTGTGTATAAGCGTTAACCAATGGTATTATAACAAAGGGACGACTACTAACAAAATAGAAATGAGGCTGACAAAAACTCTAGACAGTTCTGATGATGGGAAATATATCCTGAAACGTTAACAAACATTGTAATGCTATATGACAAATAAAGTGAATATATAGTGCAAATGAAGTTATATTTGCCAATATCATTAATATTAATTATCAGATGCCCTTACTATGTGATTCAAGAGGAATTTATACCACAGAGAAGTCATGAGACCCTATAATTGAAATAGTGTTTACAAGTAGATCTTTCCTAGATTGCATGCAGTTGACTAACTAAAACCTTGGATATTCATATATTACTATATTATAGTTACTAACATATTTTAATAATGTCAAAAAATAAAACACTTTACTTTTAAGAAAAATAATATTTGTAACTTACTCAAATCATTGGGAGAAGGATTACCAGACCGAACATGATGAGGGAACTCAGGTATCATAACACTATGTCTATATTCAACATTCTGCAAGAACATGGTATTTTGTGTCATTCTAACAGAAAAAAATAAAAAAAAATTACGAGGAGGTAGTAGTGAATAAAATAAGTGTACAGAAATTTATCATGAAAATAGGTTTTGGCATTATCTTATTGTATGTTTGAATTTATTAATTATAAAGTATATGCTATATTTTTAGTTTTCACATTATCAAAAAACAAAAACAAGATAGTTCCATTAAAATTAAAAAGGTAAAATCTAAATAAAAAATTAAATTCATATTGCTCTAATCACACAGGGAAAAATGGTTTTTGTCTCATGAGTAACAATAGGTGTACCTACTTCATAGATATTTTCTGTTCAAATATGTATTCAGAAATTTTTTTGTAACATGAATATTTTATACGATATTCATAAGTAGATATTTTGATTTTGGTATTTTTTTTTTTTTCAAATATGGATTTTCCTGATGCTAAATAATTGTTGATATGTTAAGGAAAAGAAGAATGAAGTAATTTTTGGCTATAACGAGGGTAGGTCAAATAGCTGGTTTGAATAAAGAAAATGTGTGGCAGGTGACATGAACATTAATGCCTACACAGAATATATACATATATATATTTTATAAAAATGTTCAAGAATTTGATCATTGAATTCCCTACAGTTGGGTAATCAATTTTTTAAGAAGACATATATATTTTATTTTGATTTTGATGAAATATGAATACAAATAAAAATGATTTTTTTAACTGTTATGATAATTTATTGGGCTCTGAGGGCTTCAATGGTTAATGAATTGTGAATTATTATGGCTCTAGTAAATGACATCGGTACATTAAAAATTTTTATATAAACTAATAACAAATTTTATGGTAAGTAAAATAATAAATTACTATGGTTATAGCTTCTTGATACTTTCTTTCTAATAAATATAATCTCACATATTATACTAAAACAGGATAATACTGATCTGCAGAGATTTAAATGCTAGAAAAGGCAATGATAAAGAAAATGCACATGGAGTGATAGGACCTTGGGGAGGTGAAAACATACAAAATAGTAGTGGCCAACAACTCGTAGAATTCGGTATAGAAAATAATTTGCTCATAGGAAATGCGTGGTTTAATCATATAATAATATATAAGACCACTTTCTAGAATAGGGGAGCAGAGAGTATGAGAAGAAGTGTCATTGACTGTTTCATTATGGAACGAGACCTCAAAAGGAGTGCAAAACTTAGTACAGACCACAAAATACTAGTCGCTGATACTAAGATTATCAAGCCAAGGAAGAGGACTAGCAAAGCATTTAATAGAATCGATGTTAAAATGTTGAAAATGGAAACCTAACAAGAAGAGTACAGAACAATGCTGGAGAACTGCTTTCAGTTAATAAATGCAGTAGTGAATTGGATACTCTTTGGAAAGAAATTAAGCATTGCATCATCGATACAGCTAGTGGAGTATGTGGTATTAAGAAAATGAGGCCGTCTACTAAGAAAACAAAATGGTGGAATGATGAGGTGCTAAGAGCAGTAAAGCTCAAGGATGACTGGAAAACTTACTGTAGAATGAAACTACCTATCCACTGGGAAGAATAATCAGATTAGCCAAGATGAGGACCTGGGAGCAATTTGACCAGGAGCTAGAACAGAATTGTAAATAGAATATAAGAAGATTCTGGCATATTGCAAAAGCTCTGTAAGCCAAAAAGTCAAAACCGGTCTGAAATATAAAAGATGCAAATGGCAAGTTAGTGACTAAAGAAAACGTGGAATTAGAAGTTAAGAGACAGTTCTTCAAGGAAAAATTTAGTATGGAAGACCATCGACGCTATAATCACAGAGACTGCAGAAGGAGAGTGAGGGCGGAAGAGGTATACCTGGAAGACTTGGAAGACACAATAGGCGAGAATGAGGTGGAAACGGCAGTAGCCAGAATCAAAATGGGAAAAGCACTAGGACCAGATGAAATAGCTCCAGAATTAATTAAATACGGAGGCAACAAAATGGGACCTCAAGCTGATACCAGAAGAATGGAAGAACAATATCATAATCCCTATATGCAAGAAAGGGAGCCAAAGCGAATGCGGGAACTATAGGCCAATATGCCTCTCGTCAGTTGTGAACAAGATATACACAAAAATTCTTGAACAGTGACTAAGGCATATAGTAGAGCAAGATATAGAGGAGGAACAAGACGCTTTCAGACAGACCCAAGACCACATATTCTCACAATGGATGTTTGTGAGAAAAGCATAGGACCGTGGCAAATTGGTGTATCTAGCATTTCTACATGTTAGTGCCGCTTTCGACTCAGTTCTGAGACAGGAGATATGGGACTCACTAATTAGAAGAAGAGTACCTCCAAACTTGGCGAGTGCTATTAAATCTATATACCAAGAGCCAAAGGATATAGTAAGCCTCAATGGACACACATCAAAACCTTTCCACTTTCATAAAGAAGTAAAGCAGAGATAATCTTAGTCCTCTGCTTATTATCCTTCTCATGGATGAAATTTAGAAAGTTTGTAAAAGAAGAACCCCAAGGGCTGTTGTGAGATATTGGAATTTTACATCAGTGTTCACTTAAGCTATGTTACATGCAGATGACATAATCCTTATATCGGACTTACAAGAGGCCCTGCAGACATCATCAAGGCCACTAGCGGATCCAGGATTTCATTTTGGAAGGGGCTTCAGCCCGAAAGCTTTTTTTTCATAAAAATGACGATAATTACTTTGGAAAAATAGAAAGAAACTAACTATCTATATGAAATGGTGTTTAAGTGGTTCCTTAAGTCCTTTTAAATGCAATTACACGAACAATAATACTTTAAGAGATAATTTTTAAATATATTTTTCAATAAAACATGGTTATATTTTACCATTTTTGGGGGGGGGGGGGGCTTCAGCACGAAAGCCCTCCCCGTAGATCCACCAAGGCCAAGGCCTTAATATTTGTGCGAATGTTCACAGCAAAACTTCGAATGGTTCCGTAAGTGTGATGTGAATGGTTCGCGCAATGTGAGATGAATGTTGGATTTATATATATATATATATATATATATATATATATGTATATAGACGTTACTGATTTCAATGAAAATTAAAAGTTTATTAAAATTAAACTACAAATTATTATACTTGTTTTGTCAGTGTTGTAACATTTAATTAATAATTATTATATATACTTTATTATCAAAATTTGAAATCGATAATTACTTTTCCCACAAAATCATGTAATAATTATTACATTTGATTTATAATTTTAAAATTATGCTTAATTTATAAATAAAAAATTAACTAGATCTCTGATGTTTATTGATTCGATTAAAAATAATGATACAGTTTTACATAAACAATAATGACTAAATTGTGATAAAAAAAAAAAAAAAAAATTAATCAGAACATAAAAATCACCTTTTAATCACAAATTAATATATTGACATGAATGTATTCGTTATTAAAGTACACATTTTTAATGATGTAGAGATGGCTGAGCGTGATATAATATGAGAAGGAGTTGATCGGCGGGGGCTGCGGTCAAATAAATATTAAATTATAGAAATAGTATTATACACACAATAGTATTATATACAATAATAATAATAATAATAATAATAATAATGCTTAATTTATTCTGGGACGAGTCCCTTTAGAATAATACATAGAGACAAAAATGTGGGCTAAGGAGCCTCAGAGATATATAAAGAAGAATATAGTTTGATTAAATAGTCAAAAAAAAAGATAAATGAAAAAAAAAATAATAAGAGAAATTAAAAGTTACTTTCTAATTTACATCAGTTAATAATAAAAAGTAAAAAATTGAAAATAAACATGAAGTAAAAAACATAAAGAACGATCTAATAATTTATATACATATTTACAGTAGTAACTATTTACAATTTATGATGACTGGATGGATAAGAAATGATTAAACAGTTGGGATTTAAAGGTAGGAAGGGTTTTGGATTGACGGATGTGGGGAGGAGTTCCATAGGGAAGAGGATCGAATAATAAAAGATTTATCGAAAGCAGCGGTTAACACAATATTACACATTTTTTAATATTACATTTCTTTAATAGATTTAATTGTGCACGTGGTACCTGCACTATTCATATATATATTTATTTACTTTTTTTTTGTTTCGTAAGCCAAAATTTCGAATAAATTCCTGAAATAAAGATGTTATGTTGCTAACAGAAATTTTTTGAAAAATAATGATCAGGATATGATTTCTATCACTTCTGATAAAAAATAAAAATTGCTCATAATAAAAATCATCAAACGATTTTTAAAAATTCCAAATAAAATTCTTTAAAACCATTATTAATCAAGACATCAGATTTATTTATTTTTTGATATTTTTTTTTTTTTACTTTTATATTTGTTTATTTAGAAATATTACATTCTGTCACATCAAGGACATTTATAATAGTGTTCAGAGAAAGCACACTCACACTCTATTTACAATAAAAAAAAAATAATAATAATACAGAAACTTAATAATAATAAATACAATAAAATAAAATAAAAATAAATACAATAAAATAAAATAAATGTATATAAACAAAAGAACTAACCTAATCATACACACTCGGGCTTGAGTGGAGGATCTGGCCATTGCCAAAACTCCAATAGATGCTTATTTACAAAAGGTCTCTGGGCCACTGCCGCTTCAACCTTCGAGGAGGATTGTAAGGATGGGGGGTGCGGGATAGAGATTGTGCAAGGGGATTTGGATGATAGGTAAGGTTCTGGTGAAATTTGGAGAATTTTTCTGGAATAAGGTCTAGGACAAATGGGATATTAAGGTCATGGTGTAGGATTTTGTTATTTACATAGAACGGAGCATCAACTATTGTTCGAAGGACTTTAGATTGAAAGGATTGAATACGTTTGATGTTAGAAGCTTTTGCTGTCCCCCACAGTTCAAGTCCGTATGTCCATATAGGTTTCAGTATTGTCTTGTAGATAAGTAATTTGTTTTCAATAGAAAGTTTGGATTTTCTGTTGAGTAGTCTGTATATCTGGATTTTCTGTATGTAGTCTG